TTAAAGTCTAAACTCTGTAAACTATCACACAAACACTTATTGTCTTTTATTCTAGAAACTTTCACTGATGACACGTGTGTGGCAACCGATATCAACCCTTTTATTTCATTTTGGACAACGGCCTCCATCAGGGTAAGTACCCAGCGAGAAAGTACTCGTTTTTCAGCACTTACATTAATTCAGTCAGTGAGATGTACGAAAACAGAAAACACTTTGCCTCAAGGGAACTAGATATAGTTCAATCAGGAGAGACAAGTAAACTAAGAAAATGATTTATTACAATAACATGGAAATGTGACTTGACAGAAATACTTTGGCGCTTGGACTCTATGGGTAGGGTGATGTGTTTGGAGAATGACAATTCTGAGCATTGACAGAATAAATCCCCCCCATAGAGTCCAGACCCTGGTGGTGATGAAGCTGATGACTTGATGAGACCGGATGGGTGACGAATTGATGGATGATGAGTCTGTGAAGACTGGCGGGGATGGAGAGGTGGAGGGGCGCTCGAAACATCAGCATGAAGGAACTAATGCACAGAAAGAATCATATTTAAAAGGGGAGCAGAACGATGATAGGTTGAAAATCAGGGAGGAACACCATGTGATTGGTTAGATGAGTACCGCTGACGAGACAGCCGATTACCCATTGACAGGCCAAAAATGACAGCGGAAACATGAGTGAGCGTTCAAAAAGAGATGAATGAGAGATATACCCGATCATGAAGGCAGTTATAGTCTTCCTGACTGAACTTACTTGTTCTTAATTTCTCAAACACTTTTCTGTCAAATACCTGTGTCTTTAAAACACAACTGAACCCAGCTGCAGAAACCTGACAGATAATGAAGTATGATTGGTTGATTAGTTGATTGGTTGATGGATGGATGGATGGATGGATAGATCAACCATTGTATGAAATAAATAATTAATAACTTGTTCTTATGTCTGCTGTAGTATACACAACATGCCTGTAAAGAAGTCAAAGTGCTGCTGAATGGAGATGTGACAGACCCATACGATATTGACAGGTAGGCAGCAGCACTACACTTGAAATGTGGACAGTTTTATGAACTCCTCAATGATAACCAAAAAATGCTGTGATGTTTGACATGACACCTGCACAGTGCATTAAATATGAGCATTAGATCAACTGATGGCAGCAAGTAAATCATTAATATTGCATCAAACTTTCAGTATAGTATGTTAAGTTTCTCCCAGCTGTTGCTCTATGCTAGCACAGGGGTTTTAACTTATACTTGACTTCTGCTATATGTATGTTCAAAATATTGCACATAATCTTCAAAATCATTTTTAGTGGTACAGCAACTTTCTGTTATCTCAGTGTCACTCACAGCTGCTGATCTATTCTGATTGGCTGAAGGGGTGTTTGTTGTTCTGTTAAATTGAAAGATTGGAATAAAAAAATAACACATATTTCAATATGCAGTGATAAATAACATCTAAACTGACATATTTGAAAATATTATTGTCACAAGTCTGTAACCCCCCCCCCCCCAGAGTATGGAGAGCACTTCATGTTACATTTGTATTGTATCAAAAAGTGCTATACAAATAAAGTCTGATTGATTGATTGAGATGAAAAAGACAAAGTATTACAAAGTTTTAAAATATCTCAGCCCTTTACTTGTACTTTTAAATGCTGCCTGATGTAACGGCCCCTGTTAACCTGACTTCTTTTATTCTTTCTCAATGTTTCTCTTATGTTATTAGTTTCTTAAGTAATTCTGAGGTACCATATCTTGAACATCCCAGAGTGACGAAACTGGCTGTTATTCTGGCTGTTGAGAAGGAAGGGTACGATTTTATTTTTATTTCTTATGGCAGACTTTTGCCACATCGCTTTGAAACTAAATAGGCCTGTGTTTTGGCTGTAGTTGTCATCAGCTGACTTAAAATAAGTACAAAGACAAATTGGTAAACATAATAAACCATATGCTGTTCTGTGTCCTCCCTGCATTTCTTTTATTTAGGACGCAGTGCAACGACAAATCCCTCAAGAATTTAAAAAATTATGTGGAACAAAAGAAAATCGTTTACGATTGCAAGGAAGTGTTCAAGTAAGTTCACTGAAGATCACGAGAAACATCGTTCTATGCTGAGGTTGTCACATATCGATCATGTTTATTCCTTTTGTGCTTTGTATTGCTGTTATCTGTTTTTAGAAGCTGTGAGCTCTTTTAGTATCATCACATCTTTGGTCCTTTTGGTCTCAGCTCGTGTTGTTGGGTTCTTGTGTTGCCTGCGTTCTTTTTGTGGGTGTCTTATGATGGTCAGGTTAAATGTGTTTGTTGGGTCTATTGTTGTGTGGGTTCTTATGCTGTTGGGTTGTTTCTTTGTTGTTCTGTATTATGTTGCATTGTCTATATTCTTGCTGTTGTTTATGTTTGTCTGTGTTTGCTCTTCTGTGTTTGGTTTCTTTTCCTTTATTCTTTTTTTCATGTCCGTGTTTTTCAAGGTGTTATATAAATAAAGTTTTTATTATTTGCTTCATTGCAGATCCCAGGTGGAGAAAATATTAAATACCTGCTGATGGAGTCTATGAATGTCAAGAGTTACTTAAAATGTGATTTGACTGACTCAGTTGTGATCGCACAATAAAAATAATTTGAGCAAAAATGAAAGCAGTCTCTGGTTTAATATGAAAAGGTCAAAACGCAAGGAAGTGATGTTTAGTTAAGAAATCTTGAAAGGTAATCCTAATGATACATTTATTTTCAGTGCTATGTCTGTAATGATTCAATGAGTATTGTGGGCACTTATCTCAAACCCCACAGCCTTACTAGCTCCTTGAGTTACTATTCCACATGAGTTTCCAGACACATTTTACTCAGTTTGTTGTCTTAGTTATGTGTCCAACTTTTGAACACTTGTGCTTTTGCGTTTCTTTTTTGATCATTTGAAACTGGAAGCTGCTGCCTCAGTTTAGACGAGGGTGTATGAAGATAGAGAAAAACACGACATCTCTGAAAAGAAAAGAAAGTACTTATTAAAACACACACCTACTGATGGTTTCATTCTTGTGTGTGTAGAACTAGAATGCCCCCCCCCCCCACACACACACACACACACACACACACACACACACACACACACACACACACACACACACACACACAGGAACTTTAAGAGGGGGAGTGTGGACCTTTCAGTGTGTGAGTACTGCTGTGGGCAGGAAGGAGGAGGCTCAGCCGCTGAGCAGTCTTTACCTCCTCTTTCCTTTCCAGTGACTTGCTGCTGTGTCACTCGTACCGTAATCAGTGTGTGTCTGTGCTGGGAAGGAACGTGAGGGTTTCTCTCTGCACAGATGTGGCACATGAAGGACGCCCCCGCTGTAAAAAGCACAACATGGGGTTCCCTGACATGTGTAGTAGCTACTGCCTGAAATATTGTCGTAGTTTAAGTCACTGTACCGACCATGAACAAAAACATGCTAATCATAGTCTTTAGCATTTTTAAGACAATAACAAGGTCCTAAAGTCAATTTACTACTCTGGACTTTCACTTACACAGAATAGAAACCATAATCAGACTGATAAATGAAACGTTTCCGCAAGTATCCATCAGTTCACTAAAGGGTTAATGCTAACAGGCTAAATGATGTGTGTTTCTTCTGCCTACATAACCAAGAATAATGATAAAGCTCTGTTTCATGCACAGAATGGCTAGCATGTAGCATTTTTTAAGCTGACTGTAGAGCAATACACCTGTGATAAAGTCTGAATGTGTACTAAAATAGTTCATTTAGGGACTTTAAATTGTTATGAGGAATGCAGACAGACCCACAATAGGCCTACAGTTGTGTTATCAAGGGTTTTTTCTTAAGAAGCCAAATGTTATTGTGGTGACATGGTGATAACAGATTACCCCGACAAACCCCCCCTGACTAAAATAAATAAATAAATAATAATAATTCTTTATTTGTAGGACACTTTACATGACAGAAAAACAACTTGCTTTACAGCAGCAGTTTAAAGGAGACAATCAGAAACACAGAAGATATAAAACTTCATGAGGACTTCTGTAAAAAAACACAAAACAAATAGGAAAGTTGTTATCTTATTTAAAAGTCTTGGAGAGATCATCACCTTCATTTTTTTTTATCGTGGTGCAAGAGGTTGGTTTCATTTCTTTTTGGTAGGATATTCCCAGAGAGACTGAAATGGATGCAGCTTTATAAATGTAGAAATATTGAAATAGGTTTCAGTAATACATGAGTTGACTAGACAATTCATGGTTGGACTGCCTGCATAATCAGGTCAGTGACTGGAGGAGTGGCTGCAGCGTGTTTTCCCCTTTCCTTCTTCCCTGAATCAATCTCTGAGTCAACACCTTTTAGAACAGCCTGTACGAACATTGAGTAACCAAATAAACCTGCAAGATGTGTGAGTTTCCCTTTAGCCGCAGCACCTGACTTCTGATTTTTGTCTGTGCAGGTCATCTTATTGATCTTGCCCTTTTTTTTATTTTTTATGAATGGGTTGTATTCAGTTCAGTCACTGGAAGTTTCCCACACTAATCTGCAAAAGCTGTAAAAAATGTCGATTAATACAATTCTTTACAATTGCAGTGGCCCTTATTTCTCTTTATCTCTATTTAATTTTGTTGACGATGCATGTCTGTAGGTTAATTACACAGTAACGGCTATTCTTATATTATTTGTTTTAAAAATATCATTTTAAATTTTCACAGCCTAATTAAATTGGTAGACATCGACAGATTCGGTAAAACCTCCTACATTTAAATCACGTGTGTGTCATTTCTTGCAGTGTTTAGGTAGATTTTTCTCTGAGTCATCGATCCGGGCCCTGAATGCATCGTTAATTACCGCTCGTTGCTGCTACCACCGCCACTCGTACTTTCCTTTCCTTCGACAATCTCCGTCAGCGGTGAGGGAAGCCCGGCAGCTGATTGGACAACGCTGGTTTCGCGACGTCACAGGGGATCGTCAGTATAAATCAACTCAGAGGCGAGGCGCTCTCCAGATTCAAATCCAGCTTCTGTGGGATCGCCAACACGTGTACTGGACCTCAAACAATAATAATATGGTGAGTGTGATTTTATTATTGGTCTATTCTTTAATTTAGGAGTGTTTAACACATCTATTCTGTTAAAACACTAACTCCTACTATAGCCGAAACGCTTAATGTTTTAGGTTCATTCATGACTCCTGGATTCCACCGAGAGCATCCAGGAGATCTTTTTTTATTTTTTATTCAGCTACATTTAAACCTTTTTTTATTAGTATTCCTGCTCAGAGGACAAATCCTGAGAACGTTTGGCTTAATTGTATTTGAGAGCAACATGTGCAGCGTGAGTGATAGCGTGACTGTGTGCACATCCTTCACGTCCTCTGTGGTTATTATGAGTAAACTAGTCCACGTCGTGTCATTGAGTCACACACAGTCTGCACAACTAGGCTACATCAGATCACGCAGCTTTGATCAGACGACTCCAGATCTGCAGGAGAGGATTGTTTTCATTTCTGGATCAGTCAGTTTTCGTTCATCCCATCTGCCGTCAGACTGTTTAATCGGACTCTTTAACAACATCACCACCTCATGCTACACACTGTGTGTGTGTGTGTGTGTGTGTGTGTGTGTGTGTTTAAGAACTGTGGTTACTGTGTAATTTTACATTATTGTATTTTTTATTTCATTTTTTTATTTAAATGATGTAAATATGTTTGATCTGTTTTTAACTTCTATTTTTATATTTAATAATTATATTCCCGCCCCCTGTTTTTTTGGAGCTGCTGTAATGCACACATTTCCCCCACGGGGGATCAATAAAGTTTATCTTTATCTTTATCTTTATGAATTGGTTAGCACCTTGGAGCACTTTAATTTCTCATTGTGTCAAATAAATGGTGCAACACAACGACAGCTCACATGAGAAGATTGATCCAAATGTTTATTTTTTTTTAACCTGATAAACAAGATCAATATTTTTCTCCTTTGGTCCTTCATGCCACTGTCTCTCTTGTTGCGTAATATCACCAATAAGGTTTAAAAACAAAAATACAACATAAATGGTGCAGTGAAATGACAGCTCACATGAGAAGATTGATCAGGTTTTTTTTATTCCATTTTGGCCTGATGAACAAGTGAAATGACACATAACTTGCAGTATTTAAGCTTTTAAGTTTTCAATTCCAAAGATTCATATACCTTTCTAATACCCTACCTCAACATAAAACAATGACTCCTGGACTGTCACCATCTCATCTCATTGAACTCAAACCCTGTATTATTATTGTATTGTGTCTTTTCTCATGTTTTTTGTTTTTTTTTGCTGGTTTTTGTTTATTTATTTTTTGCTTTCGCTGTCATTTCTTTGTGCGCATATTTGTTTTTTTCTTCACTTTATAACCAACAAAAAGAAAGAAAAACTGGCGTATTTTATTGCAAACAAATGGCCAGTTTGTCTTGAAAAAGAGTCACATTTTCTAAATAAAAGACCAAGTGTGATCAGTGGTTGTGCGGTTGGATCGTGTGAGGGAGAGACCAATTGGATACAAACTTCCAAAATGTCATTAAAAGATCTCCTGCTGTTGATTTCTGACGTTGTCGAGGCAGTTCGATCTTTTTATCTAATCTGTTGTTGCTTTACTTGACGTTGAGGATGTTCAAAAGTGGCCGTTGAGTATAATATGTAATCCTGTGTGTGTGTAATGAATGAATAATTAATGAAATGTCCTTATTTGTGTTTGGACAGTCTCTACACAAAAACACAACAGAGAGGCCTCCTGTGAGGAGATCCGAGGCAGACAGACCTTTGACCAGCAGAAACACACAGACCAACAGACTGTATCCATCACTGCCCAAAACTGACAGGTAACACAAATCACTCATAAGTCATGTGATCACCTGGCTCGTTTTTTTTTTTTTTTTTTTTTTTAATAAAAAGCTAAATAAATGTAATTTTTGTTTTTGTGATTTGATGTTTTCAGGTATGATGCTTGTGTTGAGGATCGCTCTGTTGAGGAAAAGCTTCGACCAGCGTCAGTGTTTCATCCTCGCACGCTTCTCGGAGAAAACCAGGTAAAAATGAACACATGCAACATTGGAATATACATCTGTGTGATCAATATTCAGTCACCGTGTGTTTCCCTTTACCACAAATGAACATGGTCGTGTTACTGGAAACACTCCCAAATAAAAAATTCCAAAAGTGTTTAAAAGGAAGTTGGAGGACACGGTCGTGTTGCGTATTTGGCAATGCAATCGCACATGGTATAATCTTATTGTTCCTCTTTTTTTCTCTCTCTCTCTCTATCTCTCTTTTATTGGCTTCAGTCAGACTCATCGGCTGCCAGCAGTGAGGCCAGATGGAAAGCACGGATTCTTATCTTGGAGGAGCAAAAACAAGAGGTGAGTACATTTCAGAACTGAGATTTGCATTCAGACCAGAACACATGCACCTTTTCTGTACTCACATGTTCTTCCTGTTTCACTCAGCTCCTTTCTATTAATGAGAAGTGGGCGAAAGAGTACCGAACCATGAGACAATACTACAAAGAGAAGGTAAAGAAAGGGACATTTTCAAAGTCATACCTGCAGTATGTCTTTACTCAGCACCGTTCACCGTTATTTTAAATTACTCATGTGTCCTTGTCTCGTCCACTCAGGTTCAAGATTTGAAAGCGTTGCTGCAACGTGATTACAGCCAGTTTGAAGAGGAGATGTGTGAAGCAGGGGAGATAAACACTGAGTTATATGAGAAATTAAAGGTCAAGACACTCAAAGATATAAAGAGCCCACGGGTAAGCGCGTCTATATTTCAAATTTCTACAATTGAAGGCGTTGCAATGGATTCAATCTGTAAGAAACTGTCTAATCATTAATTGTCTTACAGACTGGTGACGCTGATGTCAGCTCCGAGTTACTGAAAGCAGAAAAGGAGGCGAAGGAGCTACGAGTGCAAAACAACACTTTGACCAGGAGAGGGCAGCATCAGCATGAGGAGATCAGGCGACTGAACAAGGTGAGTTTGGAGTACAGAAACCAACCTCAATGCAATGCAGTTCTTTATAAAAGCAACAATGAGTATTGAGTGTTTGTTCCCTGCAGCAGCAGTGGTATTAAAGACAGTTTGATGTGTTCTAACAGGCGCTAGAGGACGCACTGCAGACGAGTCAACCGCTAGAAGTGAGCAGTGAAACACTACACGAGATCTGGAAACATCAGGTGAGCTTTGTTCACACATGTTTTATGAGCATTCTTACTGAAACAAATTCCCTGATAGTTAGGAATAAGAAGCTGGATACCACTCTTAGCATTAGCTTAGCATAAAGACTGGAAACATCGGGTGAGCTTTGTTCAGACATGATTTATGAGCATTCTTACAGAAACAAATTCCCTGAGCTTGGCTCTGTCCTTACGAATCTAAGCGGCTTCCAGCTGCTCTAAAGCTAATTTATTAAAATGTTATGAAATTAGCTTAATCTGTAAAAGAAAAACAATATATAAATATTAATTATTGGCCTGTTCCACTTAACTTCTGACTGCACTTTGCCAAGAACTAATCCAAACCCCCTACCCGCCATTTTTTTTAATATTTAGCCGATGGACATTAGGGTGGAGTCAATCCTCTCATTCAACTTAATATTATAATATTTTTTACACACTTTAACTTATTCTCCTTTGAATACTTATATGATGTTTTCTTGTCGTTTATCTTTAGGCGGAGGTCTACAAAGAAGACTTTTTGAAGGAGCGGAGCGACAGAGAGAAGCTAAAGGGGAAGTATCTGGATGTAGAGAAGAAGTTTAGAAAAGTTCACAGTGAGCTTCGTGTCCTAAAATCTCAGGTACAACAACTCATTTTGTTACACGTTTATGTTCACTCCTCTAACTACAACATTAAGGCGCAAAGACTTGAACACATCGTCTCTGTTTATTTTCAGGTGACTCGCACACCACAGCCTGTACATGAATGCAGCTGCAGAACACGAGCGAGAAGTCCGACGTGGGACGTGCGGCACATTAACCAGCACCACATGGTGTTAGAAAGGCGTTAAATGAAGAATAACAACGTCTGAAATTCAAATGCTCCTCACTCTATGTTTACAAATGTGTGTTGCACTTTATTGAAGTGTGAGCTCAGAGTGCAGCATTAGCAGGGTGAGACTTTGCCAGCTTATAGCAGGGAGGACTCTGTTCTGTCTTGAGTCTTTGGCTGACCGTCTGCTGCAGGTTCAGCTTCAGGTAGCCTTCGTTGTGATCGTAGCGAGGCCATTCTACCAGTCCGGGGTCCATTAGGTGACCCGTATGGAGGAAGACACACACACACAAACATGAACCTCATGTGAAGCAGCACATAATATACTCCACCCATTGTGTGCAAATTTAGCAATGCAAGCCATCACAGCCTTTCTTAGCCCCTCCTCTTCTTGTGACATGGGTCCTTAGGAGGATACCAATCATTCATATCAACAACCTAAAACACTACTGAGTTTCAGAAATGAATGGGGGGGATCTTCCTGTTTGATGAACCTGGAACGTGAAGTTGCCCAGATAAGAAGAGATGTCTCAGGAAAAAGGAAACGTCATCGTAGTGGTCCACAGCGCTTTAGATCGGAGGTGAATGCGGCTGTGACTGTTTCAAAGGTGTTATAAAGCCCCCTGGGTGGTGGACAGACACAAGGATTCGTCCAGTATGACTTTATTTTTCAACCGAACCCAGTCAGAGAGAACATGAAATGTAGGAGTCATGAAGTACATTATAGTAACTGTTATTTGAACTGTGTATTTTATGAATGTTTTTAAGAAATCTGTTGCTGCATATTCTTCCTGTTTTCATGAGAATAAATCACTGACATCTGTATACGCTGACTCTCTTGCACAGTTATGTGAAATCACAGGGCGGTCACTTACGTGGAAAGGAAAGTACATTTCCATCTTCTCACCATAACTCTTTATCCCATCGAGGAAGTAATAAGTCCTGATGAGAGCACAGGAAGTATATCAACAGAGAAATAAGACTATGTTTTCCCATCGCTGTTAGATGTCTGGTTGTGGTCAACACGACTCGCGTTCACAAGTAGTAAAACTTTACTCATAAACAGCAGATGTAATGTCTGACAGGAAATCCCACAACCATGTCCCAGTAATCAAAGTGCAGAGTCGATGTAAATATGTCGAGGCGACCTGACCACGCCCTTTTACCATACACTGCCCTTTGGACACTTAATAACCCATATATGGTTTACCTCATAGTTACAAACAAGACGCGTCATAGCTCCTTCCAGACTGTAATGAGGGATTAAATAAAACATTGACAAATACAGAGGCAGATTTTGAAGGATTTTTTATTGGCACAGTTATAGCAGCAATGTGTTCTCGATTATTTTCACCAATGATCCAAAAAAAAATGCTGTTTCGATTTTGGCAGGCTCGGAACGAATAGTTACTAAATGTTACAGCGAATTCAGCTGTCATTGTGAGGACACTTTGAGCTCAGTTGCGAGTGATTGTCGGCACAGTTGCGTAAAGTGCATGTGGACACAACATCGGAAAAGTGAAACAGAATACTTGATCTGAGATCTGCTTTGGTTGCTGCCTTGTTGCTACATTCTTAGTGGTTTAGTCTGAACATACTTGCTGTTTATAAATAGATGTAGTAGTGTAAGTTAATGATGAAGGTTTAAGGTGATGACATTGACAATAACATTTATTTATAACGCTCTTAAATGGTGACAAACTGTACCCAGTGCTCAGTGCTGTAGCAAGTTGTTACATTGTAAATGGTGGTGTTGAAAAAAAAAAAAAAGGTAAAATACTGCGCTTCTCTGCCTTTTTTTTTTTTTTTTTTTTTTTTTTTTTTAAACAGATAAATATGTTAAATACATTCTATGGAAGTCTTTTCAAAGGGCAGCGTCTACAACCACCAAGCGGATTTACAGAGACAAATTCTGGTCAATATTGCACACCAGTTTTTTAAAAACCAGTTCTGACGCATCAGCCGCTGAACTCTGCCAACTCCATAGCAGGAATATATTACAACATCCACTCGGGCAAAAGACCAGTCAAGAAAACTTCCCCGCCTCAGTAGAAGGCCGGGTTCGTGTGCTCGATGACGCAGCGTCGACAGTGGCGTCTGACAAACCGCAGAGCCTCCGGCGACACGTCGCAGTCCTGCACGTTGAGAAGCTGCAGCTCGCAGCAGTTTGCAGCCAGAGCTTTGAGTCCTCTGCCCGTGACGCTCTCGCAGGCCCTGAGACTCACTCGCCTCAGGCCTTGGCAGTACATGGCTAGCTGCTCCAGCCCGCTGTCGGAAACGAGGGGGCACTTACCCACGTCCAGGGACTTGAGTTTAGGGCAGCTCCTTGCTAAGTGGCTCAAGCCGTGGTCTGTCAGCCCTTCACAACCCCTAGCGTTTAAGTAGCGCAGTCTCGGGCAGTAACGAGCCACATAGCGCATGCCCACATCTGTGATGCGGGTGCAGTGGGCCACACTTAAGTAGCGCAGGCAGCCTTCCAAACGTGCGACCTCTCTCAGGCCAAAATCGCCAACCAAGCGGCAGTCACTGAGGCTAAGCTCCCTTATAGACGGGCAGTGGAGAGCCAGGTGGCGCAGGGCCTCGTCAGTCAGTCTGGTGCAGCGCCTCAGATACAGATGTGTCAGTCGGGGGCAGTGGGAGGCGATGGTTCGCAAGCCCTCGTCCTCGAGGGAGAAACAATCGGTCATGTCCAGGAAGTGGATGGAGATCTGCTGGCCGTGGAGAGGCGACAGCTGGAGCGAGGCCTCCTGGGTGAGGCTGATACATGTGACCTTGGAGCAGCCTGGAAGGAAGAGGAGGCAGAGGTTGTCAGCTCAAACTCGTCATTTGTTCAGAGTAGACAAGTCAACAGTTTTTCAGCTCTGTCAAAAAAACGTTGGAAGACACAGCTGCTTCACATTTATCACACCGACCATTCAGAAAGCTATGTCCTGTCTGCTTTAAACTCTAAATAATCTGTATAATATCTCCACTGTGAAGCACAGCAGCCTGAGTTAGATGTAATACGTGCAGAATTTCCTCTTTGGATTAATGTCACTGCACCACAACTCAGCAAAGAAACACTGTCTGAGGAAATCTCCAACTAAAAGTCTGCAACACACATAAAGTCAGACTGCTAAGGTGCTACATTATCCTCAGATAGAAAAAAAAAGGTTTGTTGAGCATGGACAAAGCATGTTGCTCCCCATCATCACTTTAATTAAAAGCATATGGAGGGGGGGAGGGGGGGGGCCTTTCAAGACAATTTTGTTTTTTGTGGAATTATCTCAATTATATGAACTGACACATGAGGGCGCCAAAGTCAAGCTTGCAGTATTTGACAACGACAATGTTTAAGTAGCCTACATACAATTCCCAAAAGGTACTAATATGGGGCCCATTTAGGGGGGTTAAAAAAAAAAAATCAACGACTTATGTCTTTACCAGTTACATTTATATATCTGATTTTCTGCCTTTCGAATACAAACCACAAGTCTATTTTTTTTTTTTAACCAAAAAGGCTTCCAGGTACTAATGATACAGATGTTGCTCTGCCACTGGACTCCTGTCCAAGTCAATGTTATTTGTGTCACTTCCTTAATGACAGCAGCAGACTGCTCTGCTTACTCACATCGAGGTAAGTATTTTTCTCTCTTTCTCTTTCTCTCTCTTGGCAGAGCTTCTCCCGCTCCTCTAATGATTTTACCAGCTTAAGTAGAAAAGACTGAGGTTGATCCAGAGTAGACACTTCTTTGTAAAACTGAGTGAGGCTACCAATTAAGGCAAGTTCGCTTTGAGTTTTTCAAAAAGATTGTGTGTGTGTTTTATTACCTGAGAGGTTCAGGTGTTCCAGGCTGGGGCAGCGGGACACCACCTCGAACACAGCGTCGTTAGAGATGTTATAACATCCAGAAACCTCCAGGCGTCGCAGCTCCGGGCAGCACTGAGCGACCACATGCAGCCCGCGGTCAGTGAGCCTCTTGCACCCGTTCACCACCACCGTCTCCAGGGTCAGGCACACGTTCGGGGTGTCCTGGCACAGCCGGTGGGTCAGCACCCTGATGGCACGATCAGCGTGCAGCAGCTCTCCCGTGAGCCGCACGGTGCCCCACAACCTCGGGTCCCACGCCAGGTTGTACCAGCGGCGACAAACACGGGCGCAGCGGCAAAGCTGATTGGTGGGGAGATGGGAGAAGATCTGCAGGAGGGCGTGGTCGGGGAGGAGGTCGATGGGGGCCAGATGGTGGGTTTTCGACTGGCGGGAGCGTGTGTGAGTGCCGGGGTGAGGGTGGACGACGGCGACGGTTTCAGCGAGCGCTGAGGAGGAGGAGGAGGAGTTGGTCTCATGGCCGTTGCTGGAGAGGGCGGGTGAGGAGAGCGAGAGGACTTGGATGGAAGGATAAGACCGGGGCTGGGGGTGCTCAGAGTCCGTGTGCTGGAGTCCAAACCTGAGGAAAAGGACAAGAAGCATGAGGACAAATATGTCGAAAAGAGACAATCGACAAAGACAGAGTAACTGACTGAAGACCAAAATAAGTCCTGAAAAATGCTTTCACTTTCAGTCGATTTAGTAAACTTAAGAATCCGACTCATCTTTCGTTACCATCAAACCTCTCTTCCTACAACATGCCTGAAATGATTTACCAATTTTATCGAACTTAAACTGCCCTTATCTCCCCTGGATCGGGCAAAGAACTGTGAAATCACGATTTATGAAGACCAGATTAGAGGTCTTGTCAGTCTTGCACAGAGCTTCTAGTCTTCTTGTTAATCTAGTCCTTGTTTTACAAGTGTAGGTAAATTGGTTCATAAGTGAGACCAACAGTCTAATCATGTGATCATGAAAAGGAAAAGTCTGTGAAAATGCCCCCTCTTAAATGAAGAATAAAGGTCTCATAAATATGATGGTGGATTTTAAACCACATGAAGGCCTTTAGGTCTAAAACTTGTTCAGAACTCAAAGTGTGACTCAGAATCAGCCCTTTTGCAGAATCTTTCAATCTAAACCTAAAATGTTGGAAACCATCTGTATCCATGCAGAGACGACCGCTATCAAAGCAAAATTCCACAGAAGAAACTTTCTTTTTTTCTTTTTTTTTTTTTAGTACAATCAATGCCGTTGAATGCATTCCAGGAATAAATTTGCAATGAAAAAGTAATTTCCTTTCCTGCTGTTCTTTCCTTTAATCTGACTCATGCACTTTTCATTCCCTACGTTTCCCTGAATTACTTTTGACAACTTAAAAAAAAAACATGCCCTCAATGACTGTAACATCATCTGCGAACAGCTATTGGTGATTCTGTTAGTAGGGAAGGGAAAGGTTTCCATCCCAGACAAAAAAAACAAAAAAAAAACAGCTCAAAGGGGCACTCAGATGATTTATTATTACACTTTGACAGCTGGGTGACTCACATGAGAGATTCTTAAAAAGGGGCAGATGTATTTAGAGGGAAACCTAATTTGCCATGTTTTAAAGTGCAAACACTGACATGCGACATGATATCATTAGAGATGATGGATACAAATACCAGTATTGAAAATGACTTTGATTACTCCTCAGATGAAGTACTTGTGAAAAAATGAACATACAAGAGATTACATTTAGATGATTGCAGAAAAAACACCGACATGTGGCTCACAATATGGTGAGAATATAATATAAGAGGTGGTACAATGTCAGCAAATTTGGGATGTTTACACAAAGACAATGGAGGAATACCACTTTGGAAACTACATGCTTTTTTGCTGCTTTCTTTTACTATTCTATGATGATTTTTTGCTGTATGGCTCGTCCACCAAATACTAAACTTTACCCTCTATGTTAAAGATCTCTAGACTATATCTTTT